GGAGCTCGTTCGCTGCGCTCACTTGCCTTCAGGTTAGCTCGTTCGCTACGCAAACTCGCCTCCAGGTTGAAGTTCGTTCGCTACGCTCACTCACCTTTTGGTTGCAAATTAGCTGTTGTCATAAATGTAAAAGAAATAATAGTGCTGCACCCTGTTGGTAATCCTTGTAACTTTAATGCTATTGAACATCATAGAACAGAACCAACTTGTCTAATTGAGCGGAGCGAAGCTCTTATACGTCGACTCTTATGCATTTCGTAATACGCAAACTCCTCCTAGACGACTGAATCAATCGTTTTCAAATTTTGCATGGTGATAAAGACCATACCGGTGAGTGCCAACATCTATATGGCGTTAAAAAAGTCTCTCAGGAATCCACCCCACTGGGTCGCAAAGTTTCAATGTTATCCTTATGGAAGCAGTATTTGACACATAAACAAAGACATATGATCAGCTGTTGACTTTTGAATGCCGTAGATAAAGAAATAGCTGATAGCATTATTCCACAGATATTAGAACAGAAACGGTATGGATCATAAATATATAATCAAATTACGACACTAGCTTGGGGTCACGGAAGTGGTGAAGGAAGTAGTAAAGGTGAGCAGTCTGGAGTGTGGAAACTGTTTATGACGATTAGATAAAGGTATCTGAATTCCTAAAATTCAATGGAAAGGGGGGAAAACAGGTCCGCGACGTAGAACGTGGTGAAGGAAGTAGTCAAGGTGAGCTGTCCGAAGTTTATGACGATTAGATTAAGGTATCTGCAAGCCTAAAATGCTATAGGAGGGGAAGGAAACAGGTCCGCGACGTAGGAAGTGCCGAAGTAGTGAAGTAAGTAGTAAAGGCAAGATGTCCGGACTGTGGGAACTGTTTATGACCAATATATTAAGGTATTTTCAATCCTATGATGCTATGGGAAGGGAGGAAAACAGGTCCGTGAAGTAGGAAGTGGTGAAGGAAGTAGTAAAGGCGAGTTGTTCGGAGTGTGGGATCTGTTTATGACCAATAGATTTAGGCCAGGCGCACACAGGCGATTTTGAGTCGCGCAACAGTTGCCCGACTAAAATTTTCAACATTGATTTAAATTGGAGTGCGCACACGGAGGAAACAGTCTGGGGACAGTCGCGCAACTGTTGCAACCGATGTTCCCGGACCCAATTTGCCACTTGCCAGCGACTGCTCTGCGACTGAATTGTTGCGGGACTGTCGCTCCAGGTTTGGTATCCATTGAAACAAGTGTAGATGCGCACACATGCAACTAAATAGTCGCTGTGTCGCTCAGTCTCACCCCAGGAGTTCAACTACTCGTGGCCAGAACTGTCACTACTGTTTGCTCTCTTGTTGTGTGAAGATTTTAGAAAATTACAAGTATGAGTGTGCGTGATGAGGATGTCGAACAATTAATTGATGAAGTTGAGAAGATGCCGACTATATTTAAAGTCATTGAAACTGTCCTTTCACAAGTCGCTCACTAAATATGGGATGAACCCAGTATCTTTCCCAGTTCTTTTTCTTTCGCGGGCGAAACTTCAGCAACAAAGCACATACTACGGCTGTATCATTGAAATCCATTCGGAACGCTGTAACGAATGTATTTCCAACACGTCTCAAGACTAGATCCGCGACTAAAAAGTTGCCTGTGTTCGCACTCCAGCTCAACTGTCGCTAGACTTCAGAGTCTCCGAGAGAGTTGCGCAACAGTCCCCCGATTAGTCGGGCAACTGTTGCGCAACTCAAAATCGCCTGTGTGCGCCTGGCCTAAGGTATCTGCAAGCCTAAAATGCTATTGGAGGGGAAGGAAACAGGTCCGCGACGTAGGAAGTGCCGAAGTAGTGAAGTAAGTACTAAAGGCAAGATGTCCGGACTGTGGGAACTGTTTATGACCATTATATTAAGGTATTTGCAATCCTATGATGCTATGGGAAGGGAGAGAAACAGGTCCGTGACGTAGGAAGCGGCGAAGGAAGTAGTAAAGGCAAGCAGTCCGGACTGTGGGAACTGTTTGTGACGATTAGATTAAGGTATCAGCAATCCTATGATGCTATGTGAAGGGAGGAAAACAGGTCCGTGAAGTAGGAAGTGGTGAAGGAAGTAGTAAATGCGAACAGTCCGGAGTGTGGGATCTGTTTATGACCAATAGGTTAAGGTTTTTGCAATCCAATAATGCTAAGGGAAGGGAGGGAAACAGGTCCGTGATGAGGAAGTGGTGAAGGAAGTAGTCAAGGCGAGCTGTCCGGATTGTGGAAATTGCTTATGACGATTAGTAAGGAATCTGCAATTCTAAAATGCTATGGAAAGGGAGGGAAACAGGTCCGTGACGTCGGAAGTGGTGAAGGAAGTAGTAAAGGCAAGCAGTCCGGACTGTGGGAACTGTGTGTGACGATTAGATTAAGGTATCTGCAATCCTATGATGCTATGTGAAGGGAGGAAAACAGGTCCGTGAAGTAGGAAGTGGTGAAGGAAGTAGTAAAGGTGAGTTGTTCGGAGTGTGGGATCTGTTTATGACCAATAGATTAAGGTATTTGCAATCCAATAATGCTAAGGGAAGGGAGAGAAACAGGTCCGTGACGTAGGAAGTGGTAAAGGGAGTAGTCAAGGCGAGCCGTCCGGAGTGTGGAAATTGTTTATGACTATTAGAATAAGGAATCTGCAATTCTAAAATGCTATGGAAAGGGAGGGCAAAAGGTCCGTGACGTAGTAAGTGGTGAAGGAAGTAGTAAATGTGAGCAGTCCGGAGTGTGGGAACTGTTTATGACGATAGATTAAGGTATCTGGAATCCTAAAATGCTATGGGAAGGGAGGGAAACAGGTCCGTGACGTAGGAAGTAGTGAAGGAAGTAGTAAAGGCGAGCAGTCCGGAGTATGAGAACTTTTTATGACGATAGATTAAGGTATCTGGAATCCTAAAATGCTATGGGAAGGGAGGGAAACAGGTCGGTGACGTAGGAAGTGGTGAAGGATGTAGTTAAGGCTAGCAGTGCGGAGTGTGGGGAATGTTTGCGGCAATTAAATTAACGTATCTAAAATACTAAAATGCTATGGAAAGTGATGAAAACAGGTCCACGTCGTAGGAAGTGGCTTAGGAAGTAGTAAAGTATGAGCATAGTGTGAGAACCGTCTGTGGCAGTTAGATTAATGTATCTTCAATCCTAAAATGATATGAGAAGGGAAGGAAACGGGTCTATGACTCATGACGTAGGAAATGGTGAAGGAAGTAGTAAGGCTAGCAGTGCAGAGTGAGGGAACTGTCTTTAGCAATTACATTATCGTATGTGCAATCCTAAAAAGCTATGGGAAGAGAGGGAAACAGGTCCACGACGTAGGGGGTGGTGAAGGAAGTAGTAAAGGTGAGCAGTGTTGATTGTGGGAATGGATTAATGCATCTTAAATGCTAAAATTCTAAGAGAAGAGACTGTAGACTGTAGGTTAAAATGATTACGAAGCACGAATCGATACATATTTTCGATACATTCAATCATTTACAATCGAAATTTCCAACTGAGTTGACAACAGCTGATGTTTACTCCATAGAGGCTGTAAACGATTTTTGGTACTTTCCTGTTAAAGGGAACATTCATTACTATCGATGATTTTTTTCACGATATATCGATGTTTTTTTCCGATCCATTACAAATTGACAACAACTAACTGATCTTGTTTAGGCTGAAATAGTCTGTTATATGGATTAAGAAATGAAACTGTTCTAAGCTAACCTAACATAACCAACCAAACTTGCTGTACCATTTAAAACTTCCGTTTGGGTTTGATAATAGAAAAGGCAAGTTAAACACGGAATTTTTAAATGTTACAGCAAGTTTGGTTAGTTATGTTAGGTTATTTTTTTAGAACAGTTTCATTTCATTAATGTTTGTTGATACTGAACAAATAGTTTTCGTAGTTGTCAGCTGATGTGTTTCAATTTGTTAATATCGATGTATCGAGAAAAAAATCATCGATAATAATGAATGTTCCCTTTAACAGGAAAGTACCCGATTTTTACTCCCTAAAGAGTAAAAATGCTACTTTAGACCCGCAACGCATGCATTAAAACGACTTTTACTGCAATATGCCAAACCAATATAATATGAACCCTTGATGACTCCGCTCAATTTTGTGGATGCCTCTGCGAACGCCACCTAGTATTGAAACAGCTGTTAAGATTCATTAATTCCATTTCTCATAAGGTTAACATGGGAAACTCCAGAGCCACTGGGGCGGAGCCGATTGGACGGATCACGAAATTGATGGTGTATAAACCTATTCCATGAAATTCTACACGTATGTACCAAGTTTTGTGGCAATCGGTTCAGCGGTGTCTGAGTTTATCACTGCCAAACAAATATATATATACACATCCTCTTTTATACTTATAGACTAAATAAACTAAGTAAATACAACAACAACAATTCTTTTAAATGTTTAGCCCAATCCAAACTAACCAATACAGTTATTTTTGTTTATACGTCAAGTTATGACAATGAAAATAACCTGTAACAGCTGTTACCGATAAAATGGAACTTTCAAGGGCCCTAGGAAAGAAACCAGATTTTTCCAGCCTTTAGACCAACTCCAATAGATTTCTTATGGCTAAATACCCCATCGCGAGAAATCGATTGGAGTTTTCTAAAGGCTGGAAAAAATCTGGTTTCTTTCCTAGGGCCCTTGAAAGTTCCATTTGATCGGCAACACATTTTTGTAGCGGCAGTTAACAAAAACAACTGTTACAGGTTATTTTTACTGTCATAACTTGACGTGTAAACAAAAATAACTCTATTAGTTAGTTTGGATTGGACTAAACATTTAAAATTTTTTTCTAAAATGTATGGTGGATGTTTTACTTTCATAAAACATATAAAATATACCACAATATTCTTTTCCCAGTCATCTTCGTGTTGCGAAGCATGGGTATAGTGGCTATAGTTTGAAATATTTCAATAATACAAATCAAGGAAAATCAGATATACCAGTGAAATTAGTTGTTCCTTTTTTTCTTTCAGGAAAAAAGTACGTCTTGGAGATTTAGACTTGGATCCCAATGTTGTAGACGGTGCTAATCCTATGGATTTTGATGTGGAAAAGGTTACTTGGCATGAAGGATACAGCAACGCCAGGAAAGAAAATGATATAGCATTAATAAAACTGAAAAATAAAGTAAAGTTTACAGGTAATGTGGTAAATACATTTTAATTAGGTAGTGTATTAAAACAAGCATGTGTATGGCTATTGATAGATGTCCCCCTATGATAGATGATTGATGATGAAAATGTTATACAGAGTACCAATCAAAAACTAACAGAAAAAATATGATTTCAACAGTGATAGCCTTTCCTCTTGGTGAGATTTACCTGATGATCGGGAAAAAGGTTATACAACACAAACACATAGTGGTTCTGTACAGCTGTGCTTTAAGATGTCAAAAGTGATAGCCTTACCTCTTGGTAAAATTTTCCCGTTGAAGGGGGAAGTGGTTATACAACACAAACACAGAGTGGTTCTGTGCTTTATGATTCCAAAAGTAATAGCCTTCCCTCCTAGCGAGATTTACCTGTTTAGGGGGGAAGTGGTGTGGTTATACAACACAAACACAGAGTAGTTCTGTACAGCTGTGCTTTATGATGTCAAAAGTAATAACATTCCCTCTTTGTGAGATTTACCTGTTTAGGGGGGAAGTGGTGTGGTTATACAACACAAACACAGAGTAGTTCTGTACAGCTGTGCTTTATGATGTCAAAAGTAATAACATTCCCTCTTTGTGAGATTTACCTGTTTAGGGGGGAAGTGGTGTGGTTATACAACACAAACACAGAGTAGTTCTGTACAGCTGTGTTATATGATTCCAAAAGTAATGGCCTTCCCTCTTTGTGAGATTTACCTGTTTAGGGGGGAAGTGGTGTGGTTATACAACACAAAAGCAGAGTAGTCTGCAGGTATGTTGGTATTGTTTGGAAGACAATCAAACTATCACTTAAAAGTAAACATCTAGACATATTTGATTGGGAAACAGTACATTTAGAAGCTTTGCACTCTATTTGCTCGTTATTGTGTACCTTAACGAATACAACACCTCATGAAAAGACTATTTGTCTATTCTAGAAGATCTAGTAATGGTAAGACAACTCAATCTTGGCTCATGAACCCAGGTCCAGTGCTCATGAAACGGCCTGTCAGGAGCTCGAAATACGAACCACTTGTTAAAGAAGTACTGCTCCTTGAGGGGAATCCTGAGTATTCTCACATAAGATAAGCAGATGGCCGTGAAACTACAGTGAGTTCCAGGCAATTAGCACCTGTAGGAAAAGTGTCTAGATATGAAGAAGACTCAAATTCCAATCTACAAATAATTAAAAGTAGCTCTGAAGTTAAGATAGGACCTGAGCCTGTCTTAAAATATGAAGAAAGTCTGAATAAGGAGCATTTTGCTCAAAGGAGAAGCTCCAGGAGTAAACACCCGCCTTTGTATTTAAAAGACTATGTCAGCGAGGAGGGGAAGAATGCCATATAATTCCTCTCTATCTGTACAGAGTAACATCTGTTCAAATGTTTAGAAATTGTTTTTGTTTAATATGATGTTAGTTGGTTCATATTGTTAGCATTGTATCATTATTCTAGATTATTTGTTCAATAAAGCCTAACTAAAGGCAATTTCGATTACCTAACTAAATGCTAAAGGTAATTTCGTTTATCAACAAACAACAAACAACAAGCTTAATTCAGCCCGATTGTAGTTTTTTAAGGTGAATAATTCACTAAGGTACGTACATTTGAAAGGGTTTTTCAGAATTCGTGTCGGATATTTTAGGGTATTATTCCTGGGTTAAAAACATATCCAAATATCATATTTAAACTGTCCGGAAGTCCTTAGTTACTCACACAGCCGCTTTTAAGGCCAGATTTATTTAAGTTTCAAAACCATTTTATTTTTTAACCCCTTTGCTTGACCAGAATAGTTTCATTTTATTTCCCCAAGACCTACAGCCAGTTTACCTATCCATCCTATACCAGTATTCAAATTTGCCGCCATACCCCACTACCTCAAATCAAGAGTCACCTGGGAAGTCCACTGGGTCACATGACTTCACTTCTTCAATATGGCTGGAACAGCAGGAATCAACAGTATGAGGTACTCCTATTTTTAGCAATTCCTTTTAGTTTCGCCTCCTCCTACTCATTTAAATTATTCCTAATCGCTTTATTTTCAGCCGCCATTTAGTTTTTTCACTTATTAATTGTTTTCTAAAATGTGGTAAAAGAATTTTATAATTTTTGTAGCTTTTTCTCGTTGTCATAAATGTTTGTGCGAAGTTTCAACTTTGTATCTTTTACCACATTTGTAGAAAACAATTAATAAGTGAAAAAACAAAATGGCGGCTGTGTGAGTAACTAAGGACTTCCGGACGATTTAAATATGACACTTGAATATGTTTCTTACCCAGGAATAATACCCAAAAAAATCCGACACGAATTCTGAAACACCCTGTATAATAATAACATTGCTGTGTTCCAGCGGTCTAACTTCTGTCCCTTTTGTTTAGGTCTTATGAGGCCGATTTGTCTGCCTCCACCTCAGTTCCAGGATAACTTATTTGTTGGATCCTTTCCTACAATTGCAGGATGGGGAAAGTCTACTGTAAACAATGCCGGTATACAATATTGAATTTCTTTTCAATTTCATAAATTGACAAGTTTTTTTACAGTATAATTAATTTCTAAAAGCTAAAAACATTTCAACAATAAATTCCAAAAAAGTAGTAAAGATATAAACCTCTGTGGTTTTTATTTGTGCTAACTCTAAATACCCCCGCCGCAGCAAACCTGCATACTTAGCGAATTTCCATTTGCCTGATTGGATTTAAACTAAAATGTCTCCTTAAAAATATCACATTTATTCCCTATTTAAACAGAATTAGTTTAATGAGTACCTTTTTTTAGGTTTGCTGCAACAGGGAGGGTAAAAAAGTTTTTTTTAATGTAAAATGTAAAAAGGTACTGTGGTAGCTCGGCCGCTTAGAAAATGACCTGCGCGCCAATGCTAAACCAATGCTGGAGGAGGTCGCTTTCTAAGCGGCCGAACTATAGTAAGAAATCAATGTATTTTCCAAATTTGATCAAAATATGTTCATAAACAAGCAAACTACAACAGTTGACTTCTTCTCCATAACAATAACATGGGAATTTTAAAATTACAACTTTTTTGAATTTTCTCCGTAACAATTAGGCTTATAATAACGTTTCAATATACTAAATTATTTGTTTTTTTAAGCTCTACAAAATGGTTTAAAAAGAAATTGTGAAATTTTGTGTTTTTAGGGTCAAAAATGGGAAAACCCTATTTTTACCCCATAAAACCCCCCATAAACCCCCGTTCCCATAGTCCGATCATGCTGGTTCGTGAACTCATTCAAGTTTATCCCGCCTTACACCTTCAAACCAAATTTTATCAAAATCGGACAAAAATTACTCAAGTACTCGTGCGGATGGACATATATATATATATATATAATATATATATATATATATATAAAACATTTTGAACGAATGATGTTTTTGGCCTCTAGGGGCATCATAATGAAAAAGTAAATCGGTCCCGGGCCTAGGTCTTACCATGAGACCTAAGGTAATAGCTACTTCCCTATAGGGAAATTCGCTAAAACAGAAACGTATACTCTTTCTATAAACACGAGGTAACAAAAAATATCGTCCGCCGCAAAAACCTGCAGCCTATGCAAATTTATATTTATCTGGCTGGATTCGATCTAATATATTCCCTGCTAGATTCCAACTAAAATATTTCCAAAAAAAAATGATGAGATTTATTAATTTTGTTAAATAATTTTAATTTTATTGACCACTACAGGTTTGCTGCTACGGGGAAGGTCATGAGGTGTGTTTTTCAATTGAAACATTGATAGCTTCGTATGAAATAATCAAATTTGCCAAATTGTCTTTGCTCGCGTTATCATGCTTACGGACATAAATATATATAATATACTGTATATATAAATATAATATATAATATAATATTATTTAAATTTGGACGGATGGTGTTTTCAGCCTCTGGGGAGCTCAAAACAAAAAAGTAGATCGGTCCCGGATCTAGGTGACCTACCATAAAATCCATGAGACCTACAAGTATAGCTTATTTCCTATATGTAAAATTCGCAAAAACGAAAAAACCTTGATTCCTAATAGTTTGAATTTTTGTTTCAGCTTCCTAAATAGTAGCCTGCAATACTAGAGGACCCATGCTGCTCGGCAGCGATAAAATATATATAATATCCGAGAAATAATCAAATTTATGAGAAGCAAACGTATACAAAAATATTACCAATACTGGAGCTATTAATTTTTAATCATATAAAAACCTTATGAAAAATAATTTTTGTGTTGGTTTTTCACTTTGCGATTGAATGAAACGTGTACGATTTGAATACATAATATCTTAGATGAAAGCCAGTATTTCACTGTAGGTTCTTAGACTAAAATATATAGGTTTATTAAATTATAACTGGTGAAGGTACATCTTAAATTGAAGTAATAATTAGAAAATAAATCAAATTATTTGTTTTGGTCGGGTAATATAGTAGGTAAATATTTGCCGATGCTTTATGAGAAAACTTGGCGTGCAAACCTTCAATTTGAGACCTCATTCATAAAAATCGGTTCGGTGGAAAAGCCAAACGAACTCGGAAAAAACCAAATTAAACTCACATAAGAAATACATGAGAAGCAAATTTCGTTAACGTGTAAGCCGAGTGGTATAATATATAAATATATGTCGATGCTTGATGGCAAATCTCTGTGTGCATACCTTCAATTTGAGACCTCAATCATGTTAATCGGTCGGGTAGAAGAACCAAACGAACTCGACAAAGAGAAACCAAATTTAACTCCCATAAGAAATACATGGGGGCAAATTTCGTTTACGTATACACCGAGTGGGACTATAGATAAATACATGCCGATGCTTGATGGCAAATCTGTGCGTACATACCTTCAATTCGAGACATCAATCATGAAAATCGGTCGGGTTTAAGAGCCAAACGAACTCGGCAAAGAAAAACCAAATTTAACTTCCATAAGAAATACATGGGGAGCAAATTTCGTTTACGTATACACCGAGTGGGATTATAGATAAATACATGTCGATGCTTAATGGCAAATCTATGCGTGCAAACCTTCAATCTGAGACCTCAATCATGTTAATCGGTCGGGTAAAAGAGTCAATCGAACTCGGCAAAGAGAAACCAAATTTAACTCCCATAAGAATTATATAGGGAGCAAATTTCGTTTACGTATATACCAAGTGGGATTATAGATAAATATATGCCGATGCTTGATGGCAAATCTGTGCGTGCATACCTTCAATTCGAGACATCAATCATGAAAATCGGTCGGGTAGAAGAGCCAAACGAACTCGGCCAAGAAAAACTAATTCTAACTCCCTTAATTTCTAACATGGGGAGCAAATTTCGTTTACGTACAAACCGAGTGATACTATGGATAATTATATGCCGATGCTTGAAGGCAAACCTGTGTGTGCATACCTTTAATTTGAGACCACAATCATGAAAATCGGTTGGGTAGAAGTGGCAAACGTAGTCGGAAAAGAAAAACCATTTTTTGTTATGTATAAGATGGCAAACCTTTAAATAGAATAGTTATTTGAGTAACTATTGTGCGAAGTGCAGCACTATTTTTTCCTATAGTTTCTATAAAGCATAAATAGGACCTATTTAGTTTTAGAACCACTATACAACATGTTTTTAGGTTCTAGTATTCGAGGTAGTATCTTTAAGTGTTGCCAACTCATTTTCTAGCGTAAACATATTTCGTGCCTAATAAAAGCACACTGTTTTGTGTTGTTTGATGGCCAAAAAAAAGTGTGGCAAAAATGTTCACACGAACTGTGTGTGTTAACTGTGGTACCTGGGGACCGAGCCATGGCTCGGTGTAGTTTATTTCGATTGTAAAAGCAATATAAAGGAAACTCACGTTTTATTTACAACTAATTTTGGCTTTTATTATTTAAGTTTCAGTGGATTTCAATAATTTATTACGAAGGACATTTTAGCCTGGCAACCCTCAAGACATCAATTTATTTTACAGTAGATAAAAGGTCGCTCGTTTATAATAGCCTATACTTGAATAAACATTGTTTTAACATTTTGTTTAAATTAAAACAGTTGATTACTTTGGGGATTAAGTTTTAGTAGGAGAGAGCCAAGTTAAATAATCAGTATTTGATCGGAACTTGGAACTATTTTCACCTATATTGAGTTATATTCAGTGTAATCTTTGCTCAATAGTAACAACTGTTGTTTTTCCTTTTGTACTGTGCTTTGTAATTTGCTAGTATACTGCGGGTAGATGGCTTATTATGAACTTATGTTACAACTTACAAGTCTTTTGTTTACTTTTTCCTTGTTATTTTGTTCAACCAACATGGTTACTTAGGAACCATAAGCCCATAAGCCTGATGTTAAAAAGTGTTGTCTTTCAAATTTCATTTTTTTACGTAATTAGATTTTTGTTGGCAGTTTTAACTGCATCAAACACGTTTTTAGGCAAGAAATTAATTATTTACAACATTTGAAGGAAATCGTCGAAGCCGTTTTCGAGATCTTTGTGCAATCATTCATACATTCACGCAAACATTGCTCATATTAGAGTATAGGAAAGGATAGGATAGGATATGATAGGATAGGATATGAAAACCAATAATTTATAATAGTGAGATATTACTTCAGGCATTGGACAATTTTTAAAAATAGACATGGATAACCTTATTATACAATAGTGATTAGTTACAGGTCAAACTACCAGGCTTCTTGAGGCAGAGGTTGAGATTCAAGATACATCAGAGTGCAGAAGAAATGTAACCTCTACCTCTAAACTAAGGAATGCCATCATTGACCACCGAGTAGTATGTGCCGCCTCCCCAGGCAAGGACTCATGCCAGGTTGGTAAAAAAACATTTCATAACCATGCAGTATGACTTGAAAAACTGTGTTACAAATAAAACTAGTTCTATTTCAGATACAGCGACCCTGAACTCCCCCCCCCCCCCCACCCTTACTTCTATAAACTTAAACCTGCTTTATTAGTTTTTGTGTTATTCTGTATGGTTTAATTTTTAATTATGCTCCTTATACCTCACTATCTTAAAAATGTGCCACTTAACTCCCTTTAAAATAATACATTTTCCTTTAAGGAAAATTTCCTTTAAATCAGCTGATCGGAAAATCCAAGCACGGCGTCATCATTGACCACGCTGATCCTGACATGCAGTCTAGACATAACTCCCGCCCGATCACGTCGTGTCCCGTTACCATTCTAGTATTGCCCTTCGTTTTAACCCATATAAATGTTCGTTTTTATGTTCGTGTACGTGTTAAATGTATTTATTTATTATGAATTGACGACCTTCGAATGAAGCTAGAAGACATCTGTACTGGCCCGACGATGACTCCTTTGTGAGTCGAAACCGGTTGCATTTAGCAACACATTGGTCGCATAAATGCAGGTATTTATGCCAATTATTTAGAATGATGATTATATTTATGTCCTGTCTGATTCTCTTCTTCTACCGGACACTCTTCTCTTCATCGAATTCTTCTTCCTTATTTTAATGGATTTAACCAATCTCCATTTATGAATAAAAACTTCTTACTTTCCATTATCATAACCTTTATTTTACTTTCTCCCCCTATACCATTGTATATAGAGAAAGTATTGTATTCGTCAAAATTTTCGAGTTTGAGTTTTGAGTGAATATATTCGTTTTGGGTCCCCCTGGACCCAATAAAGTGATTTTTTAAGTGATGTATGTGTGTGTGTGTGGGTGTGTGTGTGTGTGTTTGTGCGTGCTGGTGTGTGTGCGTGTGTGTGTGAGGATGTGTATCAGAGCTGCATATTACACCTGTAGCCCGATTTTGATGAAATTTGGTATGTTGGTACTAATCCATGGTATCTCCAGGCGTTTTTCTTCATTTTTTTAAATTTTGTTTTTTATTGTTGATTTTCCCATAAAATCACAAAAAATCTTCTTTTTTTAATGGCCCGAACGATTTTGATAAAAAAATTATTATGTTGTAGCCCTTTAACTTATAAACAAAATTATATAACTCCCATTTCTGTAAAAATTATGGATCAAAAGTTGTTGTAAATTTTGTTATTTTCCAATAAAAACCCCCATAAAATAAGAGAAAATCATATTTTCTAAAAAAAACCCGGTTTTGATTGGAATTAGTATGTGATAATCCTTATAATTCTTAACAACATAGTGCAACAAATTAGACATAACTGTAAAAATTACGGCTCAAAAGTTATTGTAACTTATGTTATTTTCCCATAAAAACCCATTGAAAAAACGGAGAATTTGTTTAACCAATTCTGATTGAAATTCTTCTGTAATGGTCCTTTATTCTAAACCAAATAGTGCAACTCCATCCCATTCCTGTAAATATTACGGTTCTAAACGTAATGCAACTTTTGTGATTTTACCTATTAAATATCATACTATAGTTACTCTCATCACTTACCCATGGTAAAGGTTGTTGGCAAGCTAATGGGAGAAAGTATGTGTCAGATTGCTGATATCGTTTATATGCTATGTCATATCACAATAGTTACAAATTAAGGTATTACTCTCTTGTTCATAGGTGTCCACCCCCCCCCCCCCCCCCCCAATGCCAGAGGTGCAATTATCCCCCATTTTTATGCTGCCCTCTATTTAAACCTCCCCCCACAAATTTACTTAGCAATTTTCCCTTACCACATAAAACAAACATTTCAAATATTTAGTAAAATTGAGGTAAAGAAAAACAGGACAATCAAAATTAAATGTTTAATAGGAAATGTAATTTAACAATACAAAATTATATCTATAACTAATGGACGAATTAGAACTTTTTCGATTTACAATTCAGAATCTCTACTGTCAGACAACATGTTGTCAGTATTGTAATAGACAACGTCTTAAAAACGTTCAACAATATACTCGGTGAATTACTCTTCTCCAACACAGTACTGTACAATATATTAGGGGCGTAGATTTTTACAGGGATTAAGAATTCAAACAACTTTAAGTGCATGAATACTTTGTGTGAAGTACTTTGGGAAAAATTATCTTGTTTCAAAACTATTAGATATATTGAAAGCAGAGTCAAATATGGCAGACTAGGAGGGGTTGACCACTCCCAGGCTGCCTTCTACGAAAATCACTGGGCAAAATACCCACAATACCTTAATTACCACCAGAACGAAATTTTTTGTGACGTAGTAATCTTATAATTAATTTTGATAGCCCCAGGATTGCGTTTTATTACTAATAATGGTAGAAACGCATACTAAAAACATTGAAAGACTTGAGGGTTTTACTTAACCTACAATGTTGCCTATAAACATGATGACTAGATCTTGTGAAATGGTTGTGGATTTGGTTTGACAAAGTGAGGTTATCTAAATTCTTCTTAACATAACATAAACACACAAAAATATATACATTTATCACAGTTAAAATCTTGGCTTGTTTGAACAAGGGCCTACAGTGCTCATTAGGGTCTAGCCTACATTAAATAAAAATCCTCACAGCCTTTTTCTGAATCACGAAAACTTCACTTATGTTGTTCAAAGGTTTATTGCGGACATTTTCCATAACGATTGTAAAAACAATACACAACGTTTCGGGATCTGGAATCTAATCCCGTCCTCAGGTGAAAAAACTCATTCATTTATTCATATCAACGGATACACCATTTACAAAAATGTGTTTTAAGCACATGAGCTCCGCCATTTTGTTGTTTTATTTTTCCAGGGACCGGAAGCAATGAATACAAGTATTCATTGCCGGAAGCCATTTCTGTTGTCTCCGTGTTTCCGATTGGTCGGCCATGTTGTTTCAGACTTCAGTCTCATTGCGAACGGTGGTATTAGTGTTCCATTGTGTGAGCTTTTTACGTTACACCTTTTATAGATTATAGTGTTTTGCGATTGGTTATTATTTGCATGTTGTATCACGACTTGACTGCTATACAGTGCATATTTTTTACTGCTACCCTCTGTAGTGTATTCCAACTTAGGTTGGGCGTTTGTGTATTGTTAGTTGTAATGTGTTAGTTTTTTGTTACATTTTTTTGTTATATTTTTTATTATATTTTTATTCTGCTCATGTGCTTAAAACACATATATTTTGTAAATGGTGTATCCGTTGATATGAATAAATGAATGAGTTAAGTTTTTTTTTTTTTTACCTGAGGACGGGATCAGATTCCAGATCCCGAAACGTTGGGTATTGTTTTTTACAATCGTAATGGAAAATGTCCACAATAAACTTTTGAACAATATTAACTTTGTTAACATTGTTTGTATAGTTGCATATTTGATTTTATATCCATTATTGTCTCATTTAAGTAGTAGCATGTTAACTTGTTGATTGGAACTCATTATTGTTTCATGAATTTGTTGTGCCAGTATTACTCTGTATTTATTAAGAGCATTTTCATCATCTTTCGGCATCATTGCACTTGCATGTAACCTTATCATTAAACTGCAAAGTCTTTATTGTAAATAGATTGTAATTGTAATTTTGTTATTAATTGATTGTATATATTGTTCATTATTTAAGTTATTTGAAATCTAGCTGTCTTGATTGTTATTATTAACAAACATTGTAAAAATGGTGGAACCGTCGATAGTAAATAAATAAACTCACCATCACCAACAATGAACTTCAAACAAAGAACTTAACTTATTTTTGAACTATTGCCCCAGTACAAAATAGCATAGAGCAAAACACTATGAAAAAAAGCAAAATAACAAGATCTTAAGTAATGACTAGGTAAGCTAAATCTAAGGCGACGCAACATGTGGACAACTTTGGAAAGCTTTGAACAAACCTTAGTAACATGAGTATCCCAAACTAACTTAGGATCAAGATGGACACCTAAAAGTTTAACGCTACTGTCATCATCTGCCTCTTTTGGTGCTCTTACGTCTAGAGAAAAAGTTATATTCTGTGTCTTATTCAAGTTAAGGAGAAATTTGTTAGCTGCACACCATTCAGCTGCCTCTTTAAGAACTACTTCATTCATGGTGCAACAAAGGTCATTACAATTTTTCTCGCTTCTAAAAAAGGTCGCATCATCAGCAAACATGACAGTACTAGCAGAGACACATTATCAGGCAAGTCGTTAACCATAACCAAAAATAGGAATGGGCCCAGGACCGAGCCCTGCGGTCTGCTGTAGCCCTGCTGCGGTATACCGTACCCAACCTGGGTAGCGACTGGCATTGAACCCTTAACATTAACTTTTTGTCGCCTATTTGTTAGATATGATTCAAACATTTTGATTTGAGGACCGACTATCCCATAATAACCTGATTCAGGCTATTAAGTCTTGCCAACGGCAATGTACAAGCGCGAATTGATAGAGTTTTTTATTGTGTTTTTACAATTTTTAGAAGTAATAAAAAACACGTTCGCTCCTAGGTGGCATTATAGATTAAAAGAAGTAGATACTTCTTTTAATCATAGTGTCTACTTCTTTTAATCTATGGTGGCACATATATGTTCCGGGTGAGGTGTGTCCACTGTATAGAAGATATAAATATACCATGTAATATACCATATAATATTCCACTAATATACCATGCAAAGATAGAATAAAACTAATTATTCTAAGAACTTTTATACAACATTCAACTTACTTAACAACTCGCTTCAAAACAAGTCAACAACATAGTAACCCCTGGTAACCATAGTCATATGAGTAAACATACAAATATAATTATTTGTATGTTGTATGTTGTATTAATTATTAGTAATCTAAATCACATGTCATTCCAATACATCCTCTCTCCTATGATAAAATGTTAAAACTGATCCCGCAATGTAGGTTTAACTTCTCTTCCGGTCCTAGTGAAATACCGTCCATTAACCTTTCTGCCTCTTTCCCATTTCACTCTATTTTCTTCTTTCTTTTCATTAGACGTTTAACTGTGTTTTCGCTCTATTTTCCGTTGCTAAAGCTATCTTCTCTCTCTTATAATAAAGAGATCTCTCTCTTAACGGCAAAAAGTTTACCAGCGTACGGCCAATCTGAGTATTACACTACCTGCAGCCCAAAGTTAAAATTTCTAAAATTAGGTTTTAACCTATGCAATGAGTTATTTTCAAATTCAAACTCAAATTCAAATATATTTATTTAGGATATTACAAGTCCTCGCCAAGTTTACAAAACTTGTCGGCCAGGACCAATAGATTCAAAAAAATGACAAACAAAGTTTACAGATTTTTCTCTTTTTCTTTTGTTTTGTTTTTTAAGTACAAAGAATTATGAAAACTAGTTCTAAGGCGGTTCGTGGCAGGCACTTATTAATAGCAAGAGTGTTTTGGCAGCTAAACTTAATTCTAAAAGCGTTAAAAAGAAGTGTAACGAATAAACAATAAATAAAAGGTAGGAGTGAAAGCTCATATAACCAACGGCATTCACCTAGATTGCAATCTTTTGCTGTCTTTGGAATTGTGAGTTTATGTCGTGTGCTGGTGGTAGTGGAGCGAGTAAGTGTCGAGAGAAAAAAAAGAGTTGCTTGACAAGCTTGAGTCTTGTTTGTTCGATTTTGATACTTTTATTCAAATATTAGTAGTCAATTTCACTTTAGAGCAATTTTTTTGATGGCGCATATGTGCCATAAATATTATGTTTTCTCGAAAATAAAAGGTTGTTTTGAATAAAACAAACATGATATGTAATCAGGTTAGATTTAATTTACAGGAAAACTCTTCAAATTAATAAAACCCGCTAGACAAAACTACTTTCTTACTTTACAAAACATTGCGTTACATTTCTTTGGAATGTCGAGGAGTTTACAGAAAAACATGTTTTCAAAGTGTTCAAAAATTCCGGAAAATTTTTCTTTACACTGTTTTACATTATACTTCCATAAAAGTTCATTCATCTGCTGCTCATTGTTCATGCCACGCCGTGAAGCAGTCTGGCATGCAGAGTCCAAAGCTCTTTTTTCGTCATCTTTGCAGTCACCACACACGTTAAACGTAGTTTAGGTGCCACAATTGTCGCATAACAGAGAAGAAGCGCAGTTGTGGAACTATAATGTCATATATGTATAGACTTCAAACTGTTTTACTTCATGAATGAAAATGTTTAGAGATAAAGTCGTTCTCTTTGTCTAAAGTAGACAACAAAATTGTTGGTCACAAAATTTAAACAAATAAAAAGAAGAAGGTAGCTTCTAATGTTATTCTTTTGTGACAAATTTAAACATGTATTTTTAGGATTTTATAAATACTACCGAGCGGAATCGTCTAGAATTTCAATGGTATCTTCCCAGGGGAGTCATTATTATTTGTGCAAAATTTGAACGCTATTAAGTTAGTGCAACGGTTCTTGAGTTTTTTGCCCTAAGCGGACAACTCTGACAATCTCTGACTCCGCTACACACGATGGATAGATTAGTTCACTCATATATTTATCTAATGACACTGAGTAGTCCATTTCCAAACTAATCATCAAAGGTGAATAACTAAATAACTTAGCCTTAGCGTTAGCTGAAAGGCTTTTTCAAGCAAAGTTGGAATCAAACATAAATTATTTGTAAAATGTTTACCAGTTTGTGTGAATTGGTCGATACATAACCACACTCATCCACATCTCACTCTGAAATACTGGTACAATGTCAGAGTGAGATGTGGAACAGTATCAATTGTTATCTCCTGAATTTCGGCTTCGAGGTCACACCCTATAACAAAAACAAACAACTTTTATCCAAGATATTGTATCTATTCAATAAGATTTATTTCCTTCAGGGGGACTCTGGTGGACCTTTGATGCTGCTTAAGGATATAAGAAGAAATGGTGGAAATTACTTCCTGATGGGAGTTGTCTCCTACGGCTTCGGATGTGCTGAGGAAGGCTACCCAGGTGTTTACACGAGAGTCAGCGAATACATGAGTTGGTTAATAGACAATATGGATCTATGAACTCCTAGCATTAAGTATTTATTTGAAAATATTGTATTATCATGACTGTACTCCTTTGATCCCTGAAAAGTTGTTATTGAAGCCAATACACATGTAGCCAACAAAATCTTAAGATATCAGGCAGTGACAAAAACATCGCAAACACATAAGTAGTAATATTCTGAAAATATTTGTAAAACATGTCTGTATATCATGACAGCTATCCATGTTTTTTGTACCACACACACTGCAACAATCATGGATTTATTACTATAAATTAGGATAGGTCATTCATTTACACTGTTACATTGAGAGCATTCTTTGAACATGTACCTATGCACCGGTGACTTACTCATGGGTACCAACCCGGGGCTCCCAAACAGTTAGTCACCAATTTACGCTGCACATCGGAATGAAGTTTATAATTTTATTAACTATTTACTTTATCATATTAAAATTTAGCAAACTTACCTCCACAGAATAAATCATACATTATTGTTTAATACAATCCATCAATTTGATAAAACAATCAAAAAATTATTTGATGGACCCGCCATCTTGCATATGTCCAAGAAACTAACCAATCAGAGGCCGCTGTTGTATTACACACTGTTGCGTATTCCTAAGAAGGTTTTTTACTAATAAACTAAGTGGACTGTATCACCGGTCCTGCAATGGTACACCGATACATGTTTCCAGAACGCGCTCATTGTTAGTAATTTGGAATGATTCGTTTTTAAAAATAAATTGTTATAAGGATTATAGTTTTTCAGTTACCTTTGGACATAGTGGAAGTAAACAAATAATGTTTTTTTTGTCCACCCCCCTTTACGTTTTACTGGACCAAAATAATGAATGGAAATACCCATTTTTAGGGTAGTTTATAAAATAGTCATTAGTGTACCAAAGATTTAAATATTTTCAATATTCAAGTACAATCCTAATACTTGTGTCACAATGTAAGTCTCAAAAGAGAATTCATTAATGAAATTCTAAGAACTGTTTTGGTTTAGTGCCACACATACTATAAAAAATGATTAGAAAATTCTGTAATAGCTAAATTATTTCAACTAATTAATGTTACAACTGAAAATTTGAAATTAGAAATGTATTGTGTGGCCGCTACACTATTTCAGTATAAATTTTACCTTTAAAATGGAAAGCAATAAAAAATATGCCTGATAACACTTGAAACACACATATACAGTTAAACTAGATGGTAAATATAAGTTATCTATGTAATATAGTAGGTAGTTGTGATCGATTTTTATAGGACCACTATTATAGGTCAACTACTGTCTTGTTGAACAGTATAGGTGTAAATTTGTTTTAAGTGTTATTTATTATTTTAGAAATATTTTTATTTTGTTTCCTTAAAATTAATATCACCATTGACTATATAACACTAGTGTTAAATAGTCAATGATATCACGTATGCTGATTAATAAGTTACTTGTTTAAATAAAGAACTCTACTACACTAATACTAATTTACAGAATAAGAAAAAGGTACCATACACAGAATTATGTCATGGGATTAAATACTCTGTCACTTTGTAACGTGCCGTTTTTCCCGCTCGGAATATATACGCTATTCCGTGGTTATAGCGGGAAATACGTCACCAACTCTCGCCAGCGGATCGCTCAAGTCGGCGTGCTGGGAAGTTTCCAGGGTTCAGATAAAAATAATTTATTTAATTAACTCAACAACCTAGCACAGGTACAGATTTGTATACTCAAATGTGTAGTGTGAATCAGGTGTGAACTCAGTACCGGTAACCAACAATGCTACAGTACCATCATCATCGTTCACACCTGGGAACAGCTGATTAAATTAAATTTAACAATAATGAAAAAGAATCTTAGAACGAATAAAATTCTAAAACAAACTAATGTTGTTTAAGAATTTTACAGTTATATACAACTAGCAGAGCACCCGTCCTTCGTACGGGGTTGGCATATTCAGGGTGATTGATATAAGTGTGCCAGCCGTTTTTTAGCGAATTTCCCTATAGGGAAGTAGCTATTACCGTAGGTGGCACGGTAAGACCTAGACCCGGGACCGATTTACTTTTTCATTTTGATGTCCCCAGAGGCCAAAAACACTATTCGTTCAAATTTTTATATATGTATATATATATATATATATATATATAGACTTATATATATATATATATACGTCCGTGAACGCGATAACTTGAGTAATTTTTGTCCGATTTTGATGAAATTTGGTTTAAAGGTGTAAAGCAGGATAAACTTGAATGAGTTCGCGAACCAGCACGATCGGACCATGGGAACGGGGCTTTACGGGGGGTTTTATGGGGTAAAAATTGGTTTTTCTCACTTTTGACTCTCAAAACACAAAATTTCCCAATTTCTCAGTAGTGGTGAACCCACAATATGACCTCACTTTCGGCGTTTTAGAGGCACTTTTAGGGCACTTTTTATAGGGGAAAAATGAGAAAAATGAGTGGCTCATTTTTTTGGCCACTTTTTTAAAGACCCAGCTCTCGACCTATACACCCCTATATAAATTTTCTACTTTTTTAATACTGAAAAATACTTCTGGAATATGGCTCATTTTTTTGACCACTTTTTTAAAAATCCAGCTCTTGGCCTATACAAGCCTATATAAATGTTCAATACCATTGTATAACTCTATTCCACATCCATTCGAACATGTATATCTCAAAATCATGCAAGGTTTGTACGCGAACTCGGGGGCGCTCTATGGCTATGTGTAAATTATGCCTGACTCTAACGAATGACTGTGAGTGTACCTAATGACCCTAATTAAAACCAATTGTCAACATTTTCTGCCTGTCTTGTGCCAATCTGTCTGGCATCAATCTGGTTTAACCCTTTCAGTGCTATGAAACGATATATTGTTGTTTTTAAAAATCTCTAAGGGATATAGAGAGGAAGGTTATTTTTAATAAAAAGTAGCAAAACGGCCATTGGTGACCTGCATGTTCATAGGATACACTAACAACCACTTAGCTAAAAGATTCGCCCAATCCGATGATTTCGAGGTGTATGTCTAAACCCAAGGATTATGAACACCTCACTATGCCCCAGCGGTTGTAGTATATCGCTACAAACACACAGGTCACCAATTATTTGCCACACAGGACGGGGATGGAACCCCGAGCAGACGAATGCCACTGGCCAAGTGACACACGCCTTAGCCCTCTCGGCTATCTGTGCTTGAAGACTGAGGAGTCAAAAACTGGTATTTAAGCTAACACCACTGATCGCGAACAGATAGCGCTACAGATGGTTGTTCAATGCATTACTAAGTAGCAGCACTAGTTAGTCATGGACTATTTAGATGATATTTTTCAGTTGAAACACAACAGTGATCATAAATGTGTTCCAGAGACTTTGCTGCAAAATATTATTTTTCTTAAAATAGCTATAAGTTATTAAGATAACCTTGTCTAACTAAATCAAAGTTAAATTCAATATTACGTTGTAAACTATATGTATTTTGATTTTATATGAGATTTTGGTTTCAAAGAATGCTATCAGAACATACAAAATTATAGGAAAACTGGGAAAATTATTACAAAAACTAAGTTTTATTTAATGTTTACTACAAATACTGGGATTTATCTTTGTTCTATATTTTCTTATTGTCTTATTATTCAAAATTAGCATAATTATTAAAATAGTGACAACATTACAGTTAAAATTCAACAACATGTAATGGAATTAAAAGTCTTACAAAATATGAACTATTGGCCTAGCACTGAAAGGGTTAAACTGGTCTGTCTAGGGTAGGTTTAGACAATTACCAAATATGTTTGATTGATTGACCTTAATTATTCAAATTGTTAAGTTTTAAATTAATTTAGACAATTTTGTGATATAAAAAAGGGAGATTCTATAGTATCATCACTCACTCTTCCACCTGGATCTTCTTGTTTTGGTAAGTCTTTGATATGTAAGCCTAGTAGAAATAAGTTGTCGTGTGTCGGGTCATGGGATCAATTGGTTGCATAATTGATGTTTGTACTCATACTCTGTATTTCTTTTAACTTAGGAGTGTAGCTAATATTCCATTTCTTAAACACTTGGCTGATTTTGGTCACTAAGGAACTTGTAAAAAATATATACAAGTTATTTCTTAAAAACTTAGCCGAATTATACTCACTGGGGAAGTTTGAGTGACTTATTATTTAAAAACTTAGCCGAATTATACTCACTGGGGAAGTTTGAGTGACTTATTATTTAAAAACTTAGCCGAATTATACTCACTAGGGAAGTTTGAGTGACTTATTATTTAAAAACTTAGCCGAATTATACTCACTAGGGAAGTTTGAGTGACTTATTATTTTTAAACTTAGCCGAATCTCAATCACTGGGGACTTTGAGTCACTTATTTTTTTTTAAACTTAGCTGAATCTCAATCACTTGGGACTTTGAGTCACTTATTTTTTTAAAACTTAGCCGAATCTCAATCACTGGGGACTTTGAGTCACTTATTTTTTTTAAACTTAGCCGAATCTCAATCACTGGGGACTTTGAGTCACTTATTTTTTTAAAACTTAGCCGAATCTCAATTACTGGGGACTTTGATTCAAAAATATATACAAGTTATTTTTTAAAACTTAGCCGAATCTCAATCACTATATAATTTTTTCATAGGTAGTCTTCTCTATATAACTAACACTAACTCTGTATAAATGTAGACTCAGCATTCTGCTAAAAAGAGTTTTTATTTAAGATTTAGAATTTAGTTTTGATTTAGAAAATGTTAATTGCCATATATTATTGTATAAAATTGTTTTGAATATTAAAATTTAGAATTATGATTTGAATTATTACTTCTCATTAATTTAAATTGTAAAAATGTAATTTCTACTATATAGAAGATGCCAACCTATTTTTTAATTTCATATATAAAAATGAAGACCACATGTCAACATTGTTTTGCATCGCTCTCCAAAAAAAGCAACCTTATTCGCCATTACAAATTGATACATCAAATGAAGGTATGTAAACTATGTGATTTAATCTGTGATAGTAACATAGCTCTAAAATCTCATATATTACAAAGTCACAAGACTTGTAATTTCTGTAAAAGAAATGTTGTTGGTCATTTTAAAAGACACGTAAATTCTTGTAACAAATGTCCATATACAATGATTAAATTTGTCGGTGAATCGATTAAAACTGAACTTAAAAGTACTCTTCAGTCTTGTCCTCTACCGATAAAATGGACTTTAGTAAGGAGAATCAAATTTATAAAATATTCAATGGATCAAAACGGAAAATTAGTTAATGAGAAAGAATGTATTGCAGATTTTAGAAGCCTTACTATCCTAACCATTGAGAAGAGAGATTTAAAGCCTCAAATTGAAAATGCTCTTTTAAAGATTGACGCTTCCATGCACAAATACCAAGCTGAAGGTAGTGGATGGATATATGACCACACTAAATATTGGCAGTTGCACGTTTACAAGTATAAGCCCCTAACTCCAAAGTCATACATTCCCACACCAGAAAGCATTAAATTAACAAGAGCAGTTTTAAATATAAAAAATTCGGACAATAAATGCTTTCTTTGGTCAATTTTAGCAGCTTTATATCCATGGAATACTAAAAATGCTGAAAGGGTATCGAAATATGCACCCTATGAAAATCAGTTAAATATGACAAACATAAAGTATCCTGTTAAAATATCTGATATAGATAAATTTGAAAGACAAAATAATATAAGTGTTAATGTATTTGGAGTTGAAGACCGAAAATTTA